TTAACGTTGTATGTAATGTGTGAGCGTCGATCGGCGGGAACCGGTTACCGAATATTAGTGATTATACGAACGTTACTGGAATCGTGGTAGTATGTGATCTAATAGTAATATTAGGTATAGCTTGTTGTATAGAAATTGCATTGACGACAAAAACAACTTTTTTGATTCTTATATCAACTGTATTCAGTAGAAACAAGACATATACATTATACATGTACCGATGTATCTGCATGCATATAGTTTAGAATGTGTAGATACTCTTCATTTTTTATTTACATTTTTCAATTTATCCATATAATATAGTAATTATTAGAATTAAGGCTTGTATACACTAAAAATCATCAAATATGTATCAATGCATCATAAAATTAAAAATATGCAGTTATATATACTCTAAAAAAATAAATAAAAAAAATACTTGCCCATATTATACTCAAATATTATATTTTTTCTTTACATTTTTCTCTTTATTTTAATTCATTTTAATTATTTTATTTTATTAAATTTTTTAAGTACTTATATATATATAAATGCAGATCTAATCTACCCACTGACCATTACGATAAAAATTATTTTCTATCATCTTTATGATAAATTCTTACTTTTATATAATTATTGGCCTTGATTCATAATTCATAAAACATATTTACCGAAGTGCTTAATTTTCGATAAATTAATAAAATATGCTCTTATAATCAAAAACATGTAAATGTCAAAATATGCAAAAATGTATATTAAAACTTTGAGTATATTATCACAAGCGTCATGAAATTAATTGTGTACTTACTAAGTATACGATTTAGCTAAGAAAACTATGCAAATGCATAAAAGTAATTACCAATATGAATAGAGGTACTTATATTTAGAATCCGAGCAGAGTTAAGAATATATTAATTTTACAATGGTGTATGTGTGTATATTTTTTGTCTGTCGTCACCTTTTGGCTAAGTAGTGAAAATATTTCAGTATCTTTTTTGGAATGAAAGCGAATCTAATTGGAAATTGAGAGGGAGTCAATGAATTAATTTAGGAGTAAAACTAGAATTTTTACATAAAACTTGTTTTGAAAAAATTAATTTTGTTTTTTTGTTGTTATTCAAAATCTAATTAAAATGAACCTTTGATTAAATATTTTTAGTAACATTTTTTATGTATGATATGATTTTAAAATATTTTGAATCTTCTTGAGTTATTTATAGCCATAAGACATTTTTGGTTTTATTAGTTTTGTTTCGATGAATAATAATAAACATTTATTTCCGATCAAAAAGCTAGAAAGTGTAATTATCATTTTTCATAAGTTATTACTACTGGAATTCAAACAGAATAGAGCGTAAATTTACAGTAGTTTTATAAAAACGTTTGAAGTTGAAATTTCGTTTATTTAGAGTATTAGTATTTATGAATTGTGGATTATACATTTAATTTATTTCACATTGAAATTATTGAAATTTTGAACCCTCCCACACTCCAAACAACAAACCGAAGTAAATTAACTGCAAGGAGGAGACATAATCTGTTTGACGACAACTGTTTTTTTAAAATATTTTTATCTATACCCAATATCCATAGTTCATACCTTTAGTGGTATATAATTAACACGATTGAAAATATCACAAAAATGTTAAAAATAAATTATATTACAAAACAATTTACTGGGCGATTAATTTAACGCAAAACATTCATTATTTTAAAATATTTTAATAATTTAAATATATTTTTGTTACGTAGTTTTAAGTTGTTAAAAACAACATTTTTCTGAAAACAAAATAATTTTTATCTTTATTTTTTAAGTTTTACTATTTTTATGACTTTTTGACTAAAATCGAATTTTAGACAAGTTGGTAGATGATGTGTTTTAAGTACGTATTATAATAAAATTGATGAGGAGAGTGGAGTGATAAAGAGCTAAATTTTGATCCATTACTTTGTTCATCTAAACTTTAACTAAATATATTGATTAATCAAAATTTAATTTCGTTAGATTGAAATTATCCAAAAATTAAAGATGGTATGCTGTTATTCAAAAAATAAAAAGTTTACATTTTAAATAATTATTACGGCAAAATATAATTTTATTTAAAAACGTTAGTGTTTTATTAAATTAATCACCCCATATAAAGTAATAATGGTATTAAATGTTAACATTTCTTTTTTCAACCCATTCGAATTTTACTCGGCTATATTTTATATGACATGCTAAAATATTTATTTTTAAAAGCCTTGAAAGTTTGTGATTAAAAATAAAAAAACAAAAAATTATTTCATGATGTGGTTTTTTGCGTTTCATTAACTCGACGTTATTCTGACGTTACAACTACATCAAATCAACATATATCTTCATTCTTTAGGAACATGTTAATATATTACACGCTACAACTAAACATTGTTTTAAACTATTCAATTTAATGTTTTCACCCGGACGGTCGAAAATTGGCATTAGTAGAAACTTTTACCAGAAACATAAAATATTTAGTTTTTGAACAATGTGAAGCATTCATTTTTGATTTAAAAATAGTATGAAACCAAAATACTACCTATTAAGTGTATTATCGATTATCATCGTGACAATTTTATTTGTAACACAAAAATCGGAAATTCTCTTCTGCTGTGCTGTAAATTTCGTGAATACTTATTGGTTATTGACATCGAGTAGGTCACTGTTGATGTGTTAAATTCAAATTCAAAGATGAACCATTGTATATAGAAATATTATGGTTCTGAATCAAGAAGATGGACACTAGATCAGGCTCTATTTTTAAGGATAGTAGGTATACTATTGATGATTATTATTTTTATTTTTTAATTAAATAAGAAGAATTTATTTTCAACAATATTGATGAAAATTTATTGAAAATTTCAAATGTTCGTAATACTCAAAAAATGCCAAAAATATATTTTCAAAATTTTATCATGCCTACAAAATTCTGATATGAACAGTTTTTGATAATAAAAGATAATAAAAATAAATCCATAAGATTATTTTTACTTTCTGAGTTATAAGATATACATATTTTTTGAATTATAACTAATTAACTCAAGAATATTTTTGTTTCATTATTCTATATTATGTCCTGTAATTAGTAATTCAATGTTTTGAACTATTATAAATGTTTATTTCATAGAAGTTTTTAGTTTATTCAAAATAAAAAAAAAAAAAAAAAAAAAAATAGAAAAATAAATGAAATTTTTGTTCCCGCGTTTCTTATAAATTGGAAAATTGAAAGTATCTATGTAAATATTTTAAAAGTTAAAATACTTTTTCCCGGCAAAGTTATATATTTTAGTTCAGAGTATTCTATTTAAATGGCTTAACTAACAACATTTGTTAAATGTTTTGATGTTAGTAGTGAATTTATACTGATTTTATAGTAATAAAAATGTTTTTGAAAAAAAAAAACTCCGAGAATCAATAATTATAAATTGATAAATTATTAATTAATTATTATATAAACGTTGAAAATATAAGTAACATGTGTTTTGAGAATTTATAGGCTTTATTGTCTTAAATTAAACGGTCATGTTGGTTTCTACAAAGTATTTTAATATACCAATATTATATGAACATGTTAAAATGCGGTATTAAAACTTATAACTATTAAACATTATTCATATTTTAATGGCCTATATGATGACTGTTAAGAGTATCGTCAAAATTCTAATTTTGATAATGCCGTTAAATGGAATTGAGTTGAGTTGAAATTGTGTTCAGTTAATACTTCAATATTTCCTATTGTCATCAAACATAACAGCCATTTCGCCTTTGGGCCGTAGTTACGTTTTCATTGTTATTACTACCTACGGCATTATTACTATAAATTCCATTTATCTCAGAACACCTCATTAACACTATCCTGACCCAATTAATAATGAATCTTGTAATAACTCTATCTAGCTGGATTTGTTTTATTATAACATGGATGTCTTTCTCTCTTTCTTATTGCTATTATTGTGCATCAACTATTACTTATTGTAATAATTTATTATTTTCGTTTCGAGTCATTTCAGCCATGTTCATTTTTCCTTGTAAACTATTGTCTATTTTGAAGAATTGACATTATCTAAGAATTTATTTTCTTTGTTTGATAATATGATAAATTTTTTAAAATGGATTATCAATGTCAATAAAAATGTATGCAAGAATATATTTAATACGACTACTCTTTTTTCTTTTCTTTTTTTTTTTTCAAGAAGATGAAATAATAATATTGACATTTTTACTCTCATATTTTATTTCATCAACTGTCTATTGTTCACTTTTACTTCGAAGATAATATTAATTAAAAAAAAAAAAAAAATAATTATTTCAAAATAAAATGATTTTTAAATCTATAATATTTGTTAATTACACTAAGCCATTTGTCTAAAAGCATAGAGTTTTTCATTAAGTATTTATCTACTTTAAAAAATTACTTTTTAAATACGGAATATTTTTTTTTTTAATATGTACGAAAATGTTGAAAATATATGCAAGTACATTGAAGCAAAGTATATTAAAATATTTGTTATCCATTAAAAATTAAATCGTGAAATTTATAACATGACAGTTGAAAATTTAAATGTAAATGTTACTTTTCGAAATTTTCCATGATTTTACATAGCTATAATATTATGTATGGAGACTATATTTATATTTTCCACTTTACCTTAGAAAACTTATTGTAATTGGATTTTTCACCCAATTTTGAAAATTCATCATATTCCGTTAATATACAAGTATTTTTATTTAGAGTAAAACGTTATTTTTCAATTTCATGGTTATTCATTTTAATATCTTTTAAAAATAAAATTGCTAAATTTACAATCTACTACACATTTCAATTTAGTTCAGTAAATGTATTTTTATTAATTATACATAATTTTGTAGTTAAATGTATAGAAAATAAAATTTTAAATGTAATGATTGAAAGATCGTAGTTCTTTGATATATCGGTCATAACTCACAATAATAAAACAATTTAATAGATTTGTTTTTGTAACAAAATTTGTTAAAAACTTACTTTACGTGACCATGTTATTGTTGGTGGTGGGTTTCCTGTTGAATTGCATTGAAGAGTCACATCTGACCCTTTTTTTGCGCTCACTTTTCCATTTGATGTTATACCAATGATCCTTGGTGGAACTAAAAAAAAAAATTTAATTAAATAAATATACTGATTAGATGTAGGTACGAAGTAACTACTAAACAGAAGTTTTAGAAAAAAATATTAATACTGGAGGTTGTTTTTTATTCTTGTTCGATTATTTTTTCAGATTGCTAAAATACATTATACGGGATCAATTACATTTGATTTTAAGTATAGGTACACAAAACATTTCAATATTTCGAATGACATAAAATGTTGTTGATTTTATATTTGATAAAATAAAATGAAATAAAATAATTTATTAAAGTATGGCTTTAAAAATATATACTCTACTACATTTCTAATTTAAGAGTATAGTGATGAAATTAAATTATTAATATCAGTGAATAATAAAAATAATGCTATTCGTTATAATTTGTTATAGAATATAATTAGGTATTACCTAATAAATCTTATAACTCAATAGTTTGTTTTTGAGATTGTCTAATGCTTTATGACTAGCGACCAATATCTACGCAATATGAGTTTATTTAAATCATTTAAATTATATATTTTGATGTCACTTATTGGCAATAATTTTCACCTGCTCTTTTTAATTTAACAATATTATTAAAAGGATAAAATATTGGCCAATTTATCTTAATATATTAAATGGTTTTAAATGTTATTAATTAAATATAAATATTATTATTTTTAATATATTGGTTTTTTAATTATTTCTTAACTATAACGCAGTTTTCATTTTTATAGACCACATTTACAATAATAGGTATTAAGAAGTCACATTTTAAATATTATATTATAAAAGATAAAGTATATTTTATCGTTCGTAAATTTTCTGTGTTATATCATCAGTAAAAAGCAAAAAAAATGCTTATTTTTTTAATACTTTTTTTTTTTTTTAAAGAGAAAAATAATGATGGTGAAACATAGATTTTGAAAGAAACCGGATTCCAATTAAAAAATGTTTTATTTTCATCAAAACAACGAATGATTAAATTTAAGTAAATTAAATTTCCTTTATGTTAGATAAACTTGAAATACTATTATTTATTTATTAAAAACTTTTATTGCGTACAATATGTAATTTTTTTTCTTTTTAAATGTATTAGTTTAATATTGCTCATATTTGCGTTAAAAAGTGAACAATGAATTAATTCATATGTTTTTAGAATCGGTATTAAGTATTCAAATAAGTATTTTTATATCACAATATTAAATGTGATTTATTTTTTGATAATTATTTTGTTCTTGATTTTAATGTTAAGCTAGGGCAATCTCAATGGATAATCTTAAAACGATTTATGTTGCATACGCACATTGTACAAAATAAATTCAATAATATTTATTTTCCGGGAAAAGTAATGATTTTAATGATGTTTTAATGTTTAGTACCTAGTTCAATCTTCAATGTCTTGCATTTTGAACCATTATGTAAATAACAAGTAAATGAAGATGTATACTTCTACTTTAAAGGCGTAATGAAAACATCATTAGTTTGTATTGTGAGCCTTGAATAGTTTATTGCACATATTTTTTTTCAGCTCATGTCTTCAGTTTTTGTAAAGAAGTTGCATTTATAAAAATTCACTATTATTATACATATTTAAATAAATTTATTTTTGTATCAGAAACCTAACCTACGAATACATTTACATTTTTTTATTTTTTATTTTTTAAACAAAAAGTAATTTTATTAATATATTTAATATTATGTACAGTACTTGTAATTTTCAAAATATTTGGAACTATAAATTTTTAATAATATTTATTTCTAAAACATATTCAATTTCTTGTTTACTCAAAAATATTATTGTTTTTGCAATTATATAATCATATTATATTTCTAATATAATATAGTCTGGAGAAAAATTGTTTATATGAAAATATAGCTTCTTTTTTTTCTGGTTTTTATACATTCCTAAAGCTTATTTTTAAATTTAGTCATAATAATTTAGTAGTTAAAGTGCCTCTAGAATATAATATCATCGATTCGAGTAAAATAACAAGGTATTAACTTAATGGGTAATAGGTATTTTCATCTTTGAGTATAAAACATGTAATATGTTATAGTACAGTATATATATTATAATATAAAATCTTTTCATTTATTTAACATGGTATGAGTAAATTATTGTAAAATTATATTTCTAAAATCAGCGAATTCGGAATAAAACAATATTTTTTGTAATTGAAGAGTACATAATTAAATGTTTAGCGATAGCCAAGCTTAAGTTTTAATACCAGGTGGTTGGAAGTTAAAATTATTTTAAATTTCAACTGAGTATATAAAAAATGCACTATTCATTCTGTACAGAATCTATAATATAAATATAATAAAAGTACTCACAAAATAATATAATATAGATACTAAGTATTATCATCCGGCTAAAAGATTTTGATCACATTTAAAAATTGATTAACTATTCATTAAGTCTATAATACTAGTGGATTCTCGAATTAAAAAAAAAAAAAAAAAAAAAAAAAAAGTAATATGTGTTGTAATTTTAGTAAATACAAGTAGTTATAAATACTGTAAAATTTAATCTTAGATTAAATTATCAAGTCTTGATAACTTAAGTAACAAGTTGCACGCTGTTAGCTATAATATTTACGTAGAAAACAATTTGGGGCATAATAAAAATGACACTTAATACTTAAGAATGAATATGATTTATTAACAAAGTCCACTCTATGATCAATATTAATATTGTTTCTTAAACGTGTTAGCTAGAGTATTTATACAAGTGGGGAATTTATATTATTTATTGTACGTATTGTGTCATGTAAGAGTTTGTTGCTCATTATCATAAACATCACAGTGTCTCATCCACACAAGTTATTTAGTATAAATTAATTTGAAATGTATGTACTGCTATGAATCATAATATATAATATGGGTTTTTGTATAAATCGACCGTTGACTTGAACGGTTTTTGCAGATTTCCGTGTTCTCAAATTATGGGTCAATGTTTAACCATAACCGTATTATAATAAAAAAAAAAAAAAAAAAAGTCATCAATGCGATATAGAAACTAGGAACTCACTCGAAATCGAATACGAATTTATAGCCACGCGCATAATACGTTTTAACCGATTAAATTAATAACAATTTAGATAGAATTATAATGTAAAATCAGATTTTGATATTACCAAAGAGCAATTTAAAGTTAATAGTTAACGAATATATTAGAAAACGAATATTATACTCTAGAAACAAAACTGTTTAGCATTAAACAAAATTCAATCTTTAAATTATCATTACATATTATTCAATAGATATTTTTCAAAAAAATATATACAAATTAACTTATAACTTTTTAATTGTTGTGTTGTATGTTTCAAATAAAAGCACTAAAAAAAAAACTTATACTCGTATTTTTTATTTTTTTGGTAGAAGTTCTTAAAATTAAAAAAAAAAAAATACGTAGAATTTATATGTATTATATACTTAGTATAATTAAGTAGTTATTTTGCGTATTGTTAATAGTTATATTATGAAAACGAAGAAGTTATTAATGATAAGTAACACAAAAATATTTGTATGGGTTATAATAGTTTTAAATAAGTACCTAGAACTTCTAAGTATCCTTTGTAGTTTTAAATATTAATAATATTATACAATTAATCATATATAATGACCATCATTATCAACTGACAACTGGTATTTTGACTATTTATAGAACTTGAATGAAAGGTAATAGTTGTTTTGTTAAGATCAATAAGTGATTATAACATGTTAGTATAGGAAGTGACTTTAATTTGATCTTTGTACTAAAATAGCATCGTAATATTATGATTTTAATAGTTGATAAAACACCGTTTGGTGTTCGCGTTATTGTACAGTGTTTTCTGCATAATAGATATATTGAGTTCAATAATTTCGAAAGAAAATAATCTTGAGGTTTAAGTCATTGTAAATACGCAGACGCTATTTTCATTTCAATAGAGACAAGTGTTTTGGGTGAATCGATTTCGGATGCGTCAAACAAGGACGAGTATTGGTATTTGTCCAAATGACTAAAAGAACGACCGCTCTAGTCATAATGTGTGATGAAGACGCAGCGTATGAGTCTTTGGGGAACAATGAAAACCAAGAAATTGGGCAAACGTACTTATTTTATAGTTTGTTTCGTTATTGTTATGCTATTATTTTCGAGAAAATTCGTTAATTTAATATTGTGAAAATATTTTATATTTTTCATTGAGACAATTAGGACTAACAACAACAATAACAAAAATAATAATAGTATGCATACAATGGTAGCAGTTTCCACAAATCGTTCATTAATAAAGATTATTGAAACTTTTATTTCACACCCGAGTCACAATATAAACATTTATGAAGCAATTATGTGTTTATATACTTTCTAGTGTTCTAAATAATTATTATTTAGTTTAGAGTGGCTAATTGAACAAAATGTATGATATTTTATAATATTACAATTCACATTAGTTGTATTATTTACATGCGTGTGTATATAATATGTTCAATATATTTATTGCTACGATCAAATTCATACTCAGTATTCTGTATTTAAATAAATAATGCACCTAAATCATAATTTATTTATTTTTAAATCAAAAATTCAATTATTAGCAAATACGACTCTCGACCCTCATTGAAGTATCTCAACTCAGGCCTTCCGATGTTGTTATTGTGGTTGTTGTTCAAGTGAACAATCCACCTTTAAGAATTCCTTCGCATACGACAAAAATCACCAAACAACTCACGTGTATCGGCAAGGGAGTTTTTCGATATTAAAACCGGGGACCTCGACCGGAAATAAATTATAAGGATGGACGCGGGTGTAACAATAATGAGAAATACCAAAAACCCATAACTGTCGATTTATGTAGTAGTCAGTTGCAGTAGTGTTGTATACGGCGGAAACTGAGGGAGATATAAAGGCCAAGGAGAGAAAAAAAATATGATATAACACGGCGGGGAGATGCTAAGATGTAAAGTGGACGGAGAAAAGAGAAAAAAGGGATAATATGAATAGGTACACACACACATTGACACACCATTATA